GGCTGTCGGTTCGTGGCGCTTCCCGTGCGGGTCGAAGACCCGAAAACGGTCCCGGCGGGTGGAAGGCGGCAGGAGGGGGCGACGGGCTCAGCGCGAGGCGGCGGGCGGCCAGTGTCAGAATCAGCCTCCACTCCGACCTCAGAACAATCCGCAGAACAAGGCCTTAAGGGGCTCTAGGCTGGGTAAAATTGGCCCCATAACACCTGACCTCAAAAACGTTCTTTCAGCTCCAAACCCCAACCGGCTCTTTCTCGCCTGCTGTGGACAGTGGACAGTGGACAGAACTTCAGTGGGGAAAGTACTAAGCTGCTTTTTTTTTTTTTTTGGGGGGGGTTGTGAGGAGGATCTACTTGAAAAGACTCGTGTTACTACTGAATTGATAGCCTTAATATAAGTGCCGTATTTAAACTATTTTCAAACACAACACTATATGCAAAGCACTGTGCTAACAGTTTTAAGGTAGCACAAATATAAATTACAAAAATTTTGTTTTGGGTATTTTGAGGAGATTAGTTTTATAGGGAGAAAAAAGTATAAACTCAAGCTTTCATAAGTGCATTGATAGTGTCGCAACAGTTTGAGACCTGAGGTTCCTGTTGCCTTGGGGAAGCTGCAGTTTGAACAATCTATATTAAAGGAGCATATTCGTTCCTAGAGAATATAATTTAGTATGTTTAAATAAGTTACTGCTTGGTATATACTCAAAAGAAAGGCAGGAACTCAGACATATGTGTACACAAAAGCTCATAGCAACATCCTTTACAGTAGCAAAAAAATACCCATGGATAGATGGATGGATAAGCAAAATGTGGTATAGGTATAGGACAGAATATTCAGGGGTTTTTTAAAGAATTATTTTATTTATTTATTATTTTCACATGAGTTTTGCCAGAGAAAGACAGGGAGAGTGAGAAAGTAAGTCTCTAGGTCCAGGACTCAAACCATAGTTGGCTATGTGGGAATTCTAGCACCTCAACTACCATCTGCTGACCCCCAGAATATTCAGTTTTTAAAGAGAATGAAATTCTCATACTTGCTACAACCTGACTGAGTGTAATTGACATTATAATAAGTGACATAACCAGTCACTAAATAACAAATAAGTATTACATGATTCCACTTATATGAGGTATCCGGAGTAATCAGATTCATGGAGACAGTAGAGTGATGGTTGCCAGCAGCTGAGAGAAGAGAATTGGGAGTTAATGTTTGGTGGGTACAGAGTTTAAGTTTAACGTGATGGAAAAAGTTCTATAGACAATAGTGATGTTTGTACGACAGTGTGAATGTTCTAATGCCATTTAACTGTACACTTAAAAATTGCTACAGTGCTGGGCCAGCAGGTAGTGTGGAGGTTGAGGTGGCTGAAACCCACTTTACTGTTAAAGTCTAAGACCAATGGATTAAGGAGCACACTGGGTGTATGTGTGTGAGTGCCCAGGGTCCCCAAAGAATGAAGAAGGGATTGCAGCATGGCCATCTCCTCCACACCCCGGGGAGGGGGTGATATCTTACTTTCTCTCTCTCACTCTCTGGCAAACACACATACCCTATAACAAACTAAAAAAATAAGTTACAGGGACCAGCAGATGGCATAATGGGTACATCGCTGGATTCCCACATAGTTGACTGTGGTTCAAGTACTGGACCCGGCAGCTTAAATTTATACTGGGTGCATGTACCTGCATGTCCAAGATCCTGAGAGGAGAATGGAGGAGAAGGGATTGTGGCATGGCCATTCTTGCCAAGGTAGTGATTTCTTCCTTTCTCTCTCTTCTCTCTGTCTCTCTCTGTCTCTCTCTCTCTCTCTCCTTCCCTCCATCCCTCTCCCTTTCACTGTCTTTCTGGCGAGCACACATGCCCT